AGCAGGGGTGCACGAAAATAAACATCCCTCAGCTATTTTATGGAGAAAACTGATTTAATCTACTTAATAGCATGCAGTAATACTGTTCAGTTAAATATATTTTTGTTACGCTAAGTTTGAATTCTGATGTCTACTGCCTGGCAGTAACTCAAACCTATTATTATTAATTATGCCCTTTAACAGTCATCAAAAGGACACAAATTGGGCTCCACACTGACGCCTGCACCTCAGCAGAGCTGAACAGCTGGTGTTGCTGAAACACAATGCCACAGGAAGGACAGATCTCACAAACTTGCCTCGCCTTGTTCTTCTCAGTAGGCTACCTCACCAGAGATGTAAAAGCAGGAACAAGACACAATGTCTCAGGCCTCCTGTTGCTGGTAAAGGCCAAAATTCTGCCTGCAAAGATTTCCTGGCCTGAAGAAATATGAAAAAGAGTAGGTGCTGGCTGCATTAAATGCAAAATTATGACTTCATTTTTGAAAGGCTGTCTCAAATTTGAGGCATCCTCACTGACACAGTTTTTGCCAGCCTTTCTCAGAGCCTTTGCCGAGGGAGCGTACTGTATTTACGTCACGTTTAGTTAATTTTCTTTGTTTCTGCTGCTGCCCCAAACTTCATTCTTCAGTACTTAAACTTTCTTTGGCCCAACTCTCCCTGCTCAACAAGTCATACAAACCCACCTCTCTTAACCTCAGCCCCTCCACTGAAAATTGTTCAATCTCTTCTCATCTAATTTCCACTCTGCCTTGCCCAGGAAATTTCCTTCATCCTTCTTCTTGTCGCAGTTCTCAAAACTCCATCTTTCAACCCTGCCCTGACTTTCCAGGCAGCTTCCACATAATTCAGGTCATTTCCTCCTTCACACTGCCAGAGTGATAAACGCCTCAGCTTTGCCAAATCTCAGCTTTGCCAGACTATGAGCTCCAAAAGATCTGAGCATGTCCCTTTTCTTGTGGAGTTGGAGATGTTCAGAGACATGTAATGTAGCTAAATTTGTGTGAATTTTTATGGGGAGATCAGCAAGACACATCCTTGTCCCAAAGCTGACCTCCTGGCAAGGCTCACACTTTCACTCTGAAGGCCTTAGAGGAGATGAAGAGCAATGAACCGTTTTCAAAGGAAAGGTCATCGGGAGTTTAACATGAGCAAAATGATGTTTCCTCCTAGCTTTATTTACAGAACCAGATGAACCATTGCAACTAATGTTTTCAAAGCTCAGCATGGGAATTTTCAACACAAATAGCTAAACTCACAGAATTATAAAAAGCCGAGGGCAGGTTACTTTCCTGGGGAACGCTGGGGGTAGTGGAGCCATGCACCAACTCTGTCAGAGAACTCTTCCCCTTTAAAATACCCCTGGCAGCTGTGGGGCAGCCAATCTGCAGTCCAAATGGTCACCATATTTCTTCTTAATGAGAGTTTGGACCTGCTTCAAGCCTAGTGCTAAAGTTAGGTCTTTTACTAGCTTTGTAATTTTCCAGTTGAAAGGCTAGAGCTTGTCAGAAACCGTGTAAGGCACTACGGAAGGTTACCGTCTGGACCACCGTTCCGAGTCCAAAACATCCACAGAAGCTGATTTGCATTGTGTAGGAAGCCAGCTGAGCACAGCTCTAAGAGGCAAACGTGTTGCCCTTCACATCAGTTTCATGCTGCTAATGGGGAAAATAAGGCTCCAGTTTTTAAGAAAGCCAAGGGAATGATGAGGATGAATACCTAGGTACAGAGCTTCGGCTGTAACCACAGTGCATGGTAGTTTAGATGCACCTTCTCTTGGAAGATACATCTTCTTCTCTTCTCTTCTCTGCAGGACACACGCTATTCCAAAGACATAAACAATGTGCCAGCCTGATGTGATTCATCACTGCTTGCTTTGATGAGATCATCACATGCTATTGCAGACCAGAAGAAGTCTCAGTGCCTGAGCCCAGATTTTATGGTTCAAGAATCAAAAATGTTTTTGCTCGGGAAATTTACAGTCTTTGCCAAGCCCAAACTGGAGTGAAGACACACCAGTTGCATGTTGCAGCCTTCCCAGCAAACTCGGCTCTAACACGTGCTGCTCCATTCTCATTTCTAGTCGTGTCATTTTGCAAGCAGACATAGGGAAAAGCTTAAAAGTCAAAACAGGCAAGCTGTATGAGTAAGTTAAGTTCAAATTTTCTTGAAACAGTGGCAGTGTCAGAGTGCCAACTCAGATCTTGTAAGGCTCTATATACTTAAAAATCTCTATATACTTAAAAATCTGTGGCTTAGAAAAATTACCTTTATTAATTTTCCATCACTGCCCCCCACAGTGGGTGTTTTAGAGCATTCAACAGGCAATGCTACACTAGTAAGTGCTCTACCTTTTAAGTCATTCCATTTTACTTTTCACATCAAATATGTTAACTTGCCTTTAAATCAATAGAGGGGCCCTCCTGAAATTTTTACACATGTGCTTTTTATATACTGATTTTTCTTTTACTTACACTTCCCGTTACTGATTATATTTCAGGGCCAGGAAGAACCACAAGAGAAAAATCAAATTTTATAGTGACAGATAGGCAAGGTCATAATCTGTACCATTTTTTTTCCGTTTTCAATATAGTTACCTACCTACCTGATGTGTTCATTCACCTAGCTACCTTTCAAGAAAAGCTTTACAAGTCTTCAATCTTTTCTTCTTCACCAGAAGCTAATCAATTAGTGCAAATGATGATGCACACTCATCAGTTACCAATATATTGCTTTATTTCTTGGTAGCAAATTAAGGCTTTATAGTGAGATTTGTACAGTACAGGCCAATTTAAACATTAGAAACCTTAACAATCATGTAGCACTATTCAGTCAATTTAGCATAGCCAGAAAAGTAGCTTGTCTTGTTGTTATAAACAGTTAAATGTTACTAATGAGGCCTTATATTTCATGAGTGCAAATGTCTCAAAATCCCACCATCCTCAGGAAGGGGCTTAACATTTCACTATCCTCTGGGCCATTTGAGATAAAGGATAAACAGAGAGTATAGCTGGCTCGGATAAAATACACTGTACTACCTCCTGGAGAAGAACCTCTAATTTTAAAAACATGGAAAGGAAAACTAAAGTGATATTAACTGACCACAGGATGGTCTCACCCTGTTCGCTGCTGACCAGTACCAGCAGCAGTGACTAATTTTCTACAGCCCTCTGCTGTAGCACAATCTGATTTATAATTCAGAAGCGATGACATCCTGTATGTTAAGAAACTCAAAACTGAAGGAACAGACATAAGTTACAGGAATTTTTGCAGCAGTAGGACAAATTCCCTCTGCAGGGACATGTCCAAACCGTTGCTTTTTTGTAATTTGAGAGAGCATTGCTACAAGTATTTCCTCAGCAACTATGTATTTTTCTCAGGCATATGGATTTTCACTTCATATCAACGATTTTATTAGTGTTGCCTGGAGATGATGGGACTACTGCTTATGAAAACCAGACACGGTGCTTCCCTCCTTATGTTCTCTACTGAGACATTTATAATGTTTGAGCTGAACGTACGAATTCACCTGTCAGTCAGGCGCAGGGGGCCTGCCTGAAAATATCATCACCCCTGACATGTCTGGCTTTCAGAGCTGAGCATTACTTGTGAAAATGCAGAGAAATGGCTGCCAGAAGATTGTGAAGAAAGTAACCATGAAACAGCCACATGCTCTGGGGAAGGAGCCAATGAAACGGAGGAACCCTTAAACCACTCTTGCTCTTGCATGAGCAAGAGTGACCATGAGAGTACAAGGGGCTCCCGGTGTCACAGGCATTTTAACTCCTTGTTGAACAGCAGCTGTTTCTCCAGCCTAAGGGAACACACACAGACAAGGTTTCACAAAATCTAAATCTAATGTGAGTAACAGTTTAAGCCACTCTGTCCCCAGGGGAGTTAACATCAGGCTAACATCTCTGAAGTCTCAAGATCAGCCATCTATCCTTTGAACTGGAAGGCCACAAAAAAGGTTTTTTTTATGTGTATGAAGGCACTTAGGGAATTTACCTCAATGCATGTGCCTGGTTTGCTCAAGGAGTTCCAGCTGCAGTGGTGCCATGGCTGCTGAAGATTTTCACAGACTTTCTGGTGACAGCTGCACAGCACAGCAGCTGGGACTGCCCTGTGCAAGCTGCTCCACAACGCCTCGGAGAGCCCTGGTGTGCTACAGTGCCATCTCAGCTTGTTGCAGAATTAGAGCAGCTTCTCGGGATGATCTGCTGGCTTGTCCTTCTGCCAGGCCACCAATATCTCATGTTTTCCTTCACTCAGGTAAGTATGGCACTGCTTATCAGACCCAGAAGGTTCTATCTGCTACCAGAGGGTGATACTACACATGCAGGAGAGGGCAGATTTAGAAATGAAGGCAAGTAGTGATGACACACCAGTGACCTGGAGATGAGCTTTCCAAAAGAATTCATGCGTGGGCAAAATCTCCAGATTCACTCAGCAGAGTGCTCGGCAATAGCCAGCAGGTCTTAGTCTGCCTCAACGGAGTATGTTGAAGAACATTACCCAGTATTTCCTGAGGGGTTACAATGGATGACTACCAAAGAGAAACTACTTGGAGACAAGGGGATGCTTTATCAGCCATATTGGAAGAAGCTGGTGAACACAGACACATAGTGTGTAGTCAGCTACATGAGCACAGCTGGAATTCAGCTGTAGGTGATGCAGCTTCGTAGCATTTCCAAAGGAGGGATTATGTGCTATTTCCTTCGGAGGTAGCTACTGTGGCCTGGGACGAGACCAGGGCTGTTATGGAAATGCACCCCACTGGGGATGCTGAGCACTCATGGCTTTTGCATTAAGGTGGCCTCTCCACGGAGACCCACCACACCTTCAAAAGTGATCATAAAAAAGCAAATAAAATGGTCATGTAGAAACCCCCTTCACCCACCACAGAAAGGAGAAGCTGGCTCCCGCGCTACAGAGAAGAGCGCTGCGGCACGTGGAGCGCACGTTCACACACCGGTGCTCCTAACGCCGCCTGGGGCCAACTTTCAGAAGAAGGCAGGGTTGGTGTGCTCGATAATACAGCGCTTGCAGTGCCGCTTAACAAATCGCAGGGCGTCCACAGAGACGTCACAGTCCTGCACGTTCAGCATCTGCAGGTCGAAACAGTTGGCAGCTACGATCTGCAGGCCCTGTCCCGTGATGCTCTCACAAGATTTCAGGCTCAGGCGCTTCAGGTTGAAGCAGTTGAGGGCCAGAAACTCCAGGCCGGCGTCCGAGACCAGAGGGCACTTGCCAATATCCAGGGCTTTGAGTTTCGTGCAGTTCTTGGCGAGGTACTCCACGCCGTGGTCCGTGATGCCCTCGCAGCCCCGCGCGTTGAGGTAGCGCAGCTTGCCGCAGTACTTGGCGACGTAGCGGACGCCCACGTCGGTGACGCGGCCGCAGTGCGCGATGCTGAGGTACCGCAGGCGCGACTCCAGCTTGGCCACCTCCCGCAGGCCGAAGTCGCTGACGAAGCGGCAGTCGCTGACGCTCAGCTCCTTGACGGCCGTGCAGTAGATCATCAGGCAGCGCAGCCCCTCGTCGGTGATGCGGACGCAGCGGCGCAGGTAGAGGTGGGTCAGCTGCGTGCAGTGCGCGGCGATGGTGTGCAGCCCCTCGTCCTCCAGGACGAAGCAGTCCGTCATGTCCAAGTAGCGAATGGAAATCTGTTTCCCGTGCAAGGGAGACAGCTTGATGGAGGCCTCGCGAGTCAAACTGATGCACGTCACCTTGGAGCAGCCTAGGTGGAAAAACAGAGGGAACTTCAGCAAGCGGTGAAAACAAAGCGCGCAGCAGGAGCAGAAAGGGGGCCGTGAGACCGCACGCTGGACGCAGTGAAGGCGTCTTCCTGGTGCGAGAGCAGAAGCTCCCTGACTGACTAGTCTGGAGGTGCTGCGGCAAGTCCCTGCTCCAGGGGAAACACTAAACCCCGCTGGAGTCAGTGACATTGTCTTGAGCTTTTGAGCACCAGCAGAGCGACAGAGTTTTGGCCGTACGCCAGATGTAAACTGAGGGCCCTAGGCCTACCCGGGGACAGCCGGTGATCGGTTACTGCAGTATAAACCAGTGGCCACCTGAGAAAACGGTGCTGCATGACAACCAGCACAGCTCTTTGATCAACGGCAGTCTCACTGCTGACGGGCTGAGTTTGCAAACCAACATCAGAGGCTCTTGCACCATCCAACCCCATTACAAAAAAGACAAACCCCACCCAGCCTCCAAGAAGCATTTGGAGAACAGATGTGAATCCAGCCCCAAGCCTGCAATGTGGGAAGGATGCAAAGCTATGTCAAGACTATGTGTTTGCAGAAGGGTGGAGATTTGGGTAACCTAAGGAGAATGGGGAGAGTCAGCAGCAGCCAACAGACTAGTAAGGGCATGGGAGGACATGGGCAGACACAGAAAAGGGCTGTCTCAAACGAGAAAGTCTGGCCATGAATGGAGGTAACTAGACTAGAGGAGAAACATCAGACCTTACAAGGAAAGCTAAAAGTGCTAGATTAAAGGGAAAGCCATGCTCACAGACTTCCCCTATTTTTAACCTGTAACCTGTGCATGGTGGTAAGTTACAGCTTTTTTTTGGGGGGGGACACGGGGGACGGGAGGGGAAGTGCTGTTTCTGCTGCACTGCAAACTGGCAGTCTCGGGATTCTGAGGGGAAATTCTGATCTGTGCCAAGTTGAGCTGCGCACGTTGCATTAGAATATCTAGAAACAAACGCAAGGGAGAAAGGAGGGTCTGCCTGTTAGTGAGGCCCAACAGTTTTTTCCATAAACATCTACTCAGACGAATTCTGCAGCTTATGCCTGAAGAGTTGTCCTCAGGTAGGAATAAAAAGAGCTTTTCTGTATTGCAGACACACTGGCCAACAGGGATGCACTGAGCCATGAGAACCCAGAAAAGTTAGGATGATGACCTTAGAGCTCCATGTATCAGAAATACTGCACAAATCCTGTAGTCTGGAAGTAAAGAGCAGGACAATGTGTGGAGACCACCTCAAAAGCAAATGAGCCAAAGCAATACCACTTGATACAACAGGTTCTCATTCAGAGGCTTAGTGGAAGGTATGAATACTCTCCTGTTCTTAAACACAAAATGGAAAAAAAAAATCCCTTGAGAAAATCCAGTGGGCTCACATGAATGCTGTAAGAGGCATGGGATATGGACTTGAAACAATTAGCCACCTGCAATTAGATTTATACATCCAGCATTTGCATTTGCAGCCGGATCTTTAATTTAGGTTTCAAATTTATTTGAACACATGCAAATTTTACCTTAGGCCTCACAAAATGAAACAGACAAATTGTCCACAGGTCATGCAGAAGCTGTGGGACCTTGAAGGAAAGAACTTTGTTCAATAACCAACATCTTTGTAAAACTGACTGTTGCTATCTCCTCTTCAGACTGTGTTGCAGATTCGTCTATGCTATGGTGCAAACTTTGGAAATACATGTGCCTTCAAATAAATATGATGGGTGTAAACATTTCACCTCTAGTATTTTCTTTGGAGTAGGTGATATGAAATGCACCACAGGAGTCTCCATCCTTGAGCTGGGTTTCCACGGAAGAAGCTGGCAGCTAGGCAGAGTTCTGCTGGACATGACGTAGCTGTCACTATTGCCTTTGCCTGAGGAGGTTACTTGTATTAAGGAGTCTCTCTGGATATTCTACATGCTGACCAGAATTCAATTTTAAATTCTGGCTAAGTAAGAATGAAGGGTCACAAAGTCGAGGAGAACGTCCTGTCTGCTGAGGAGCCAAGAAGAGGGAATGCTTTAATGACAACAAGTAGAACGTGAATGGGTCAGAAGTCCCACGGCGGCGCTGGAGTCACAGTGTGTGATCACTGTTTTGACAAGCTCAGCATCACATTGTCTAGTTACTTTGGCTACACTGTAAAATATTTCACAGGAAGGACACGCAAAATGGTTTCACCAGAAGGAGTCCATGTTGATACAGAACTGCCTGATTTTTAGGCAAAATGACAGGTTCCTGGGTCTGCAACAATTTTTCTGTCCTAAATATTAAAAAATGTAAAAAACAAAGCTCATGTAACAGGATTTTCCATAAAGTAAGTATAACCGATTTTTAAAAGGGAGGAGGAACTTCCAAACAGACTGAAAAAAATGTTGGCTAGCATGTTAGATAATAACTTGCAGTCAAGCTCCACCAGCTTCTAGAGATATCTCAGACCTGCCCACAAAGTGGATGCTGAGAGTGACAGAACTTACACTGTGGAAAACTCCTGCAGTTAATACGAACATCTGGTTTTGACATTAAAGATTTTGGTATGTTATTGCTGCCAAGTAACCATCCAAGGGGGAGAGTTATTCAGCTAGATGTACAACTGTGAATTGAGTTTTAATTAACTAGCTGCAAGTATAGCACTATCCCCCAGCACACGTACCCAGCTCCTCTTGCTCAGTGTGAAACCAAACCAGTGAACCACTTCAGACATGAGAATTGCTTGAGTGTGTAGGTGCAAGCCTTGTCCTCCTAACTACAGACAGCAGGAGGGAAAAGAGACTCCCGCTTCCAAAACATCCTCCAAAATTACCCACATCAGAATGAAAAAAAGTAGACTAAAACAAGACCCCAGAGAGCAATTATCTTAAATTCATATGCAGGCACATGCAGCAAAAGCCATGTCTGAACCTAAACACCCTGACTTCTGAGCATGTTCAAACCCAGGACTTTTCCCTCACCTGCTCCAAAAAGAAAGGACAACTTAGAAAAATGTGAGATTAAAATTACTTTCCTGTCCCACTGACGAGACAGAATTCAAGGAAGACAGGCACTTTACTCACCCTCTACATACTTTAGACCAAACTGATGAGCTCTTAAGGACGGACAACATCTTCTTTGTCTGAAAGTAACAGGCTTGGGGAAATCACAAATGAAGACAGACCCCCAAAAGAATCTATTTCAAGACCCATATAATCTTTTCATTTTCCTTGCTTTTGAAAAAGTCACCTTTTGTGTATAGCACATCTAGCAGCAGGAGCTGTGGACCAAAGTGTTTGCAGGGACCTGCAAACCCCAGGTGCACTCAGTGTGTCAGCTAACAGTGGAATGCCAGGGCACCTCATCCTCAGCTCAGCAATTCTACTTGTCCTGCCTCTCCACGTGCAGGATACTTGAGTCCCTCAATTCTCCACACCACCCTAGATAATGTAGGAAGAAAAGGATGAACATGCCAAGGATACAGCCCGCCTTCAAAGTGATAGGTAGCTCTGTGGCTAAATCACACAGGCGTGTACACTTTGTCTTGGTGTTGGAGGTGTTTCAAGCTGAATGTGTGGTTAGCAATACAGATCTGACATCAGCAGGTACTGATAATAAGTAAATTCATATGCATTGCCAACAGTCCTGTCCCATGGAGACCTGCAGAGACTCCTTATCTCTTGGTGGTCTCAGAGAGCAATGACAAAAAGTGAATAATTCTGATTTGTTCTCATGCCTTCCATGACATTCTGCCATCCTAGGAATATTAGGTGAAAGAGTTAGATAAATCAGTTAAAAAAAAATAAAAAGCAGAGAAAAGAAAGCAAATTAGCATATAGTAGGCAGGCAGGCAGCCTTGGCAGTATCTGTTTATCTGGGTACCAGGGACTCAGTGGCACTGCCTCTGATCCCCACTTTGTCCTGCTCAGTGTCCCTCTGCAACAGCAAATCTGGTCTGACTGATTAATAACAACATTAGACTGATAACAAGTGAGATCACAAAATAAATATCAAACATCACATCTACTTCAGTTCCCTGCTTAGCTACATCCTTTCCATTAGGTGCCAACCTATTTGCAGAGGGGAAATTCTGTGCAGCTGAACTTGGGAAAAACCATCTTGTTTACCCAGAGCACATCTGAGGAAAATTGTCTAAAACATTTCTGCTGATCTGAACAGCTGCAGGGATACACTGTCACTGGGTGAAAGGAAAAGTAGAAAGCCCTAAGCAAATACATACACTATTTAAAAAAAAAAAAAAAAAAAAAATCCAAGCCAGGTAAGTGGTTAAAATAGCAATTGGAAAAAGAGGACCTTGAAATTTAGCTAGGGGTGACAACTGATATTTATACCCAGACAAAAGCCTAACACTGATTCTGAGCTCCGCCTCAAGTCACGTATAAACTACATATCTATCAATCTATCTATATATACACACATATCTGGAAAAGATTAAAACATTTTGCTGAAGTAACTGGCCTTCACCATATGATGTAGCACTGACTGCAATGTGGGGCCTCATAAGGGTGCTCTGGGCAAAAATCTATAAAAAGTACTCATGCTCTCTGAACGGGCCACCTCTGGCAGCTCACCTCCATTGGAGGAGGCCTGGTCACTCAAGAGGTGCTGCTGGCATTTGAGGCATTTAGATCCTAGCAGTGCCTGTCTCACCAGCGCTGTTAGAAGACTGGCATTCCTACTCTGAAAGACAACACAAAAAGGGAAAGTGTGCAGTTGTGGGGCCAGAGGTCTGACAAGCATGACTTTTTTAGAATTAGAGACGTATATTATAGACATACAGTTACTTTGGTTGGAAGAGACCTTTAAGATCATCAAGTCCAACTGTTAATCCAGCACTGCCAGCTCACCACTAAACCATGTCCCTCGGCATCACATCTGTACCTCCTTTAAAATACCTCCAGGGATGGTGACTCCACTACTTCCTTGGGCAGCCTGTTCCAATGCCTGACAACCCTTTTGGTGAAGAATTTTTTCCTAAATCAAACCTAAACCTCCCCTGGCTCAACTTGAGGCTGTTTCCTCTCGTCTTATCACTTGCTACTTGGAAGAACAGACCAACCACAACCTCACTACAACCTCATTTTGGGCAGTTGTAGAGAGCGAGAATGTCTCCTCTGAGCCTCTTTTTCTCCAGGCTAAACAACCCCAGTTCCCTCAGCCACTCCTCATAAGACTTGTGCAAGGCCCTTCACCAGCTTCGTTGCCCTTCCTTGGACATGCTCCAGTACATCAATGTCTTTCTTGTTATAACAGGCCCAAAACTGAACCCAGTGTTTGAGGTGCAGCCTCACCAATGCTGAGTACAGGGGGCTGATCACTTCCCTACTGCTGACCAAGCTAGTTCTGATACAAGCCAGGATGCTGTTGGCCTTCTTGGCTACCTGGGCACATTGCTGTGTGTGAGCACACAGCCAGATGACAGCCAGAACCCTCAGGTCCTTTTCCATCAGGCAGCTTTGCAGTCACTCTTCCCCAAGCCTGCAGTGTTGCCTGGGGTTGTTGTGACTCAAATGCAGGACCCAACACTTGGCCTTGTTGAACGTCATACCGTTGGCCTTGGCCCATTGCTCCAGCCTGTCCAGGTTCCTCTGCAGAGCCTTCCTACCCTCAAGCAGAAATACTGAAATAAACATTGAAACATTTCCTGTTACCTGACACATCCAGATGTTCCAGGTTTGGACACAGTGACACGACATCAAAGACCGCCTCATTGGAGATGTTGTAACAGCCAGACACCTCCAGCTTCCTCAGTTCTGGACAGCACTGGGCAATGGTGTAGAGTCCTCTGTCTGTGAGCCGCCTGCAGCCACTAACAATTACTGTCTCCAACATGAGACATACGTTGGGTGTATCCTGACAAAGCCTCCGGGTCAGCACTTTAAGAGCCCTGTCTACGTTGATTGTCTCGCCGGTGAGGCGAATAGTCCTCCAGAGTCGGGGGTCCCAGGCGAGGTTGTACCAGCGGCGGCACACGCGGGCACAGCGGCACAGCTGGTTGGTGGGCAGGAAGGAGAATATCTGGACCATGGAGTGGTCGGGCAGCCGGTCGATGTTGGCCTGTTCCTTCTGGTGCTTGGACGCCAGCCGAATGAGAGGATGAGTGAGACGCGTTGGAGGTGGCGAGTGGACCATGGCAACGGTTTCCCCGGTGACTGAGGATGAAGACGTTGATGACCCTCTGCCATTCTGGAAGCCAGGGGAATTTGGTGGAAATATTAATGCTGGACTGGGAGTGCTGAGCGTGCGCATGCTCAGGTCGGAGTCTGGAAGAGAAAACACACAATTTTTGTAAGCAGAGACAGACACGGAGCTCTGCGTGGCACAGCACCCTGCTAGCCCAGGAGCATGATGGGCTTCAGAGTTTGTTGGGTGTTAAACAGTCATATTTACCACTGAGAATGAGGAAATCATTCAAAATCTGTCTTAGAGTATACTCCGAAAACAGTTCACCTTGGTGTTGGGTGAGTGACAGAGATGTGCCCCTAGCATGGTCAGAGACGGGCTAGCAAAGGAGGGGCTGCAGGTCTGAGACCTGTAATAGAGATGGCAGCAGAAGTCCTGGGGTTTTAATTCTTCATACTCTCAACTATACACTGCAAGAAATTAGTATGTTTGAGTCACAGGATTTTTTGGCAGAGAGCAACTGCCCATACCCTTGGAACTACGTAGGCAGCTGTGGGCTGTTAGGGGAAGAATACCATAGTTCTTCACCACTCAGCTCCTTCAGCGTTCAGTGGGAGGCCAAAGAAGAGTTCACAAGGCAAATACTGCTTCCTTCAACAGACTTGGGCAGATTGGAGAAGCACAACCCTGTACACTCATTCTCATTGTGTCATTAAAGAAGCTCATTTTTCATTCATGCAAACTGGGATTCAGAAGTTCAGCCAAGATCCCAGTGACTAGTTCTTGAAGGGTCTGTCTGTGTCTCTTCACGTGCATGCAGAAAGCACTCCTTTCCAATGGACTGCAGTGAATGTCACTTGGGTTTGAAAAAACAAGCCCGGAAAGGTAAGTGGTGAATAAACAGCTCATTACCGTGCTGTCGCATGCTCTTCTTCCTAGGGCTAATTGTCACACTGGAAGCAGTCAACCCAAAAAAACCCCACACAAAACAATTTGTCACTTCTTTACCTTTTTTATTTCACTTTGTTGGCTAAAATCAGGCACAAAAATGAAAGGCCTCTGCTACTAAGAAAGGCTTGCTTTGCTGTAGGTTTATTTCAACTGTTTTCCCTCTGTGCTGACACTGCTGCCCACGAGACATTTCCATTC